GATCATGTTCATTGAGTTGCTAGCTGGCCAATCATTAGGATTGATGTATATTTGAGCTTTGGTTCAAGCAGAATTGGTGAAATCGTGTTTCTGGTTTTGGTATTTACAGTGTGTTTTTCCAGTTTTTGAGACTTGATTTCTTGATCCATGCTTGATCTTTGAGATTGATTCGAATTGCATAATGTCGTATGATATGTTAGCTTTGATTTGCGCTTGATTTAATGAATTTTGGTTGAGAATTGAGATAGAATGAAGGATCTGGACACGAGGTGTTGAACCTATTTCTGCGCGTGTTTTTGCCCTAGCCAGAGGTTGAAGATGATGGTGTGGCCTCATCTGATTGGCTGTTGTGTTTTTTTATTTATTTGAATTTTGTTTCATAACTTGATTTTTATGATTTTATTTCTTGCTCAAAAATGGTTAGAAAATAATGAAAAAATTCAGGGAGCTTAAAAATAGTATTTCTAACTTTGTGTACTTCTTTTACAATTTTTGAAAATATTTTGATTGGTTTAAAAATTCGTGTGATTAATTAATTGTTTGTTTAATGTTTATTTTGTTTTAATATTTCCTTTTATCCAAAAATTCCACAAAAATTATTTTGGACTCCTAAAATTATTTGGAATTTGATTCTGAAATTTGTTTGGCATTTTTCTTATTTTTGATCAGAAAATTAATTTGAGAAATTAATTTGGTTTATTTTTGTTTCATAATTTTTCTTTTCATATTTTCCTTAATCAAAAACTTATGAAAAAATTCAGGGAACTTAAAAATAATATCTCTGACTTTGTATAATTTTCTTGGAAATTTTAAAAATGTTTTGATTGATTTTTAAAATTTGTATGACTAGTTAATTGTTTGTTGATACTTGATTTTTATTTTTGACATTTTTTTTGATGCAAAAATTATGGGAAAATTCATGGAAGCTTGTTTGGATCAGGGGAATTATAAAAAAAAATTTTTTGGCATGTTATTTGTGTTTTGATCATAATTTCATTTTGTTGATTAAATAATTGCTAAATTATTTAATCAATTAAAAAATTGCTAAATTTTGAATTTCCTCTTGGTTTTAAAATGTAAAAAAATGGTTCCCCGACCTTTTGAGTTTCCTCATGTTTGATGTATCTTTGTTTTGAATTTTTTGGGCTTTGTTCTTAATTAATAAATTGTTAAGATTAATTTCCAAATAATTAGGGTTTTGTTGCTTACTTAGCAAGTTTCCATTTCAAAATCAACTTAACTTGAGCATTCAATTGAATTTAGATTTTGTCAGAAGTTCATAGATGAACTGAGAATCTAAAAGTGATTTTTATTGAATTAATTGACTTGGTTTGATATTTTTCCTCAAATCATTTAGAAAACTTGTCTAGTTTGACACTTTGGTCAACTAGTTTTGATGTTTGAAGCTTGTTTGACCCCCTCCTCATCTATACATGAACTTGAGACTTTCTTCCTGACTTCTACACATCTCAAAGATGCTATGGAAATTTTGGTTTGAACTATTGAAGCCCCTTTTTATTTTTGATGAATTTTCACAGTGAAAGTGCCCAATTTATGTTGCATATCTTGTTGCAATTTGTTTGATGGACAATGAACTTGTGTGAGGCCTGTAATTTGACACTAAATAATCAGGTTGCTCCTGTTTCCTCACACCAATTCAAGTCAATCCTCTTGGTTTCCCATAATTGGTTGATGAGTTTTTTTTTTACACATGCCTCCTAAATAATGATTCACTTCTTGTTTTTGCTTTGAATTTTGAATTTTTGCCTTGAGGTCATCAAATAACCAATGATAACATGATGAGAGATGATACATCAAGGATAGTCTCATAAAGACTTGAGATCACTTGACCTTTAATGCTTGAACCAATTTCATCCATATATGAATTTGATGTTCCCTTCTTCTTTCCTTTTGAATCTTTGAGGTATATTGAATGCACTTGTGCAACATGTATTAGAATCCACATTTTAATTTTTATAATATCCTCATAAGCATGTTAGGAGCTTGATTTCAAGTCTTTGAATGGTTTAAGCCTTCTAACTTTGTTTTTTTTTGTTTGAATTCTTTTCCTTGCTAACTTGTGATCCAAGCTTTGTGATACATTTTTTTTGGTACCCCTCTTTTATTATGCTTGTTAACCATGATGAAATGAATGAGTATGGGTGTGAAATATTTTCTACTGACTTCTAAAGTCTTTTGATTGTATTCTTCTCTAGCTCTTTTGATCCTTGATTGATATTCACTCTTCAATTCAACATGGTGATAAAAAGAAGCAACAATTTTTTTGTTTTGACTTAATTGTTGCATGTGCCTATTTGATGTTTCTCATATATAATGCTTTTATATCTGCCACCATGCTTTTCCATTGCCTTGTTATGTCATCATCTATCCCTTATTTGATTTATCACTTCTCTTTAAGATCACTAATTTGTCTGTTGAATGTGCGAGGTACTCTGAGAAAAGTTTTCCATTCTTGATGCTGTAGTGTTCCACTTTATTTGTGGAACACAATTGACTGTACTTGAACCATTCTTGTGCTTTGTATATTTAATAGTCTTTGCAGGATATATATGTGACTGTGACTGCCATACATCACCTGTGGGATATATTCATACTTGAAAGCCTCAATGCTTATATTTGATGGCATGATTTCTGACTCGATTTATTTGCTGATGCTAGCTTTCTTGAAGTTCTCTGGGTTTCTTTTCCTCTTGCTCAGTTGCTACGGATAGTTATCCACTTGGTATTGCACTATTGTTAGAATCACTTTAATTTGACTACCATCTCCTATACTCCACCTGCAACCCATTATTAGAATCTCTCTAGTCGACCATATACTTCTCCAAATAAAGCTAGGATTATAATCAAGTTTCACATCAAAGAAAGAGGTTCTAAGGAAATACCTTGCTTTGAAGATGCGAGAAACTAAAGTATGCTGATTAGACTAGATGTATCAGCATTTTTTAGCAACCATAGCCATATTACAAGATTTAAAATCACGAAATCCCAATCCTCTTTGGATAAGCTAACTTGTCCCACGACATCCACCTGATACCTTTATGATTTGCACCTCCACCCCACCAAAAAGAATTTAACATCTTTTCGATATCTGAAATAATTGTCTCTGATAGAATAAATAAACTCATGATATAAGACATAATAGCTTGCAACACCGATTTGATCATAATCTCCTTCCCCGCTCTATATAAGGACCGACCACTCCACAAATTAATTTTCTTCCAAATACGGTCTTTCACATGGGAAAATGTCGCTTTTTTACTTCTTCCAATCATCAATGGCAAACCCAAGTACTTCCCGGTCCCTAATACATGGCGAACTCCCAATAATATTTTCTAAATGTTCCTTTGCTAGATTGCTCAGATTATTTCTAAAGAAAACCTCTGATTTTATCAGATTTATCTCTTGTCCTGATGCTTTAGCATAAACATTAAGCAACTCCATAAGGGTTCAAATTTCTGATAAATTAGCCCTACAAAATAAAAACAGTCGTCAGCAAAAAGAAGGTGGAACACACTAGGTGCCCCCTGCATATCTGGACTCCATGGATATTGCCTCTAGCAACCATACCCTTGATGAGGGCCGTAAGGCCTTCCGATAAAAGAATAAACAAATATGGTGATAAGGGATCGCCTTGGCGATCCATTACTACTAATTTGTTAAAATATTTTCTAAATCTTCCTTTGCCGGATTACTCAAATTATTGCTAAAGAAAACCTCTGATTTTGTCAGATTTATCTCTTGTCCTGATGCTTTAGCATAAACGTTAAGCAACTCCATAAGGGTTTAAATTTCTAATAAATTAGCCCTACAAAATAAAAACAGTCGGCAACAAAAAGAAGGTGGAACACACTAGGTGCCCCTGTATATCTGGACTCAATAGATATTGTCTCTAGCAACCGCACCCTTGATGAGGGCCGTAAGGCCTTCCGATAAAAGAATAAACAAATATAATGATAAGGGATCGCCTTGGTGATCCATTACTACTAATTTTGTTAAAGTTATGATTCATAGAAAAATCTTAAATACTCTACCTGTTTCTTTATAATTATTACATTAATTATTTTATGATTTTAATTTACTTTTTCTCTCCATAATAAATATTAGATGTATTTTAACAAAATAATAATTATGATTACTTTGAATTTTGAAACTGACAATTAAAATATTTTTCTTTCTAAAAAATGATAATTAAAATTGAAACGAGGGAGTAGTGACATTCATTTTGATCATAAATACTAAATTTTTTATTTTTTAAATAAGAGATAAGATTTAGACTACTCTTTATAAAATTGGAGGTAATTTATCTCAATGACATATATTAATGAAATTTTATCACATAAATTAATTTTTCTATACTTTTTTTCACTTAAAAAAAATTCAATATCCTCTTTTCCATCAAACATGAAAATTATTATTTATATTTGATATACCAACATCTTATTATTCAAAAATCAAATTATATATTATTTTTTTATTTTATTTTAATTCTTTAAAATTTTAAATTAATATATAATTTTAAAATTTTACTTTATACAATATTTTTTAATTGATACACGTCATAAAAAATATATTACTACTAAATTTATAAAGAGGGTCAAGAATTTATCAAAATAATATAAAACAGGAGTAAAGAGCTTAATTTAAAAAGTGATTATCCCATGTTTCCGTTCCACACTACACCCCCTTCAATTACTAACTCCTTTAATTACGGACTTTCATTGTATAATAAAATAATTAACCATCCTAAACTATAACGGACCAATAACAATAACCATAGTAGTAGCACTACTATTACTTATGACATAACAATAAAATCCGTCGCTGACTCATCTTTGTTATGTATACCCCATCAACTATACAAGAGTGACTGAGTTAGTGATTGACAGTACTACTAGCAATAGCAGTAGCTACCACTAACCCATTTCTCACCACAACTCACCGCTCTGAAAAACTCAAAACTTTCCTTCCCTCCATCAACAATGACCCAAACAACCTGCATTTTCCTGATCTCACTTCTTGCTTCCTTTTTCACCCATGGAACTTCAGTGCTCAACCTCACTCTCCCAGCTCAACATCCACACCCTGAATCTGTTGCCATAGAAGTTCACAGGTACTGAAAAATGGTAGATCTGGGTCATACAAAATTCATTTTTTTGGGTTATTAATTTTTTTCATTTACAGGTCGGTCATATTTTGGTAACATTATTATTGCTAGTGTTAGTAAAAGTATCTAAATATTTCTACAATATTTAACAAGTTGATATTTTTTTTTTTGTAGGAAAGTGAATGAATCAATGAGAAGAAGAGAAATGCTATCAATATCAAGCAAAGATTTGTCATCATCCTGCCAAACAGGAAACCCGATAGACGATTGTTGGAAATGCGAGGCAGATTGGTCCAACAATCGTCAAAGGTTAGCAGATTGCGCAATTGGGTTTGGCCAAAATGCGAAAGGAGGAAAAGGTGGTAAATTCTACATTGTAACAGACTCATCAGACAATGATCCTGTGAATCCGAAACCTGGTACACTAAGATACGCTGTCATACAGAATGAACCATTATGGATTGTTTTTCCAAGTAACATGATGATTGAGTTGTGTCAAGAGCTTATTTTTAATAGCTTTAAGACTATTGATGGACGTGGTGCTGATGTTCATATTGTGGGTGGTGGCTGCATTACTCTTCAGTATATTAGTAATGTTATTATACATAACATCCATGTTCATCATTGTCATCCTTCTGGTAAGAAAATTATTCACTTGAATTTTTTATATTCACTTTTGGTTATGCCTCTAATCTAATAACATACTAGTACAGTTTAGTGAGAACATGGTTCTTCTTTTTCTCTTTTTGGATACACTCCTTTTGATGTGTATTGTGATTGTGTTGCATGCTTTTTTTCTCTATTGTCATTGTCTTGTGGGGGCACTTTTAAAAAAGTTTATTAATTGAGAGTTACAATTCTATGTATTTAAAAACTACATTAAATAATATTAATACAAAAACCGAATCAAAATGTATGAAGGTAACACTAACGTACGTTCGAGTCCCGAACACTACGGATACAGAACAATATCAGACGGAGACGGAATCTCAATATTCGGATCAAGTAACATATGGATAGACCATTGCACACTCTCCCGTTGCAAAGACGGTTTAATCGACGCCGTTATGGGTTCAACCGCAATAACCATCTCCAACAACCATTTCTCACACCACAATGAGGTTATGTTACTAGGTCACAGTGACCATTACAAACCAGACTCAGCAATGCAAGTAACTATAGCATTCAACCATTTTGGGGAACAGTTAGTTCAAAGAATGCCACGTTGCAGACTCGGATACATCCATGTTGTGAATAACGATTTTACGCGATGGGAAATGTATGCTATTGGCGGAAGCGGAGGACCCACTATTTATAGTCAAGGTAACTAACTTACTAGCTGACTGATCTTCTGATATTATTTATAAGATAAAATTTACTTTTTAGATTCATTGAATAATCAATGTAATTAATTTATATAATAGATCAGATACATTAATTAACTTTATCTAACTAACTCTTAACCAACTTCATTTTTGGTGATATTAGGTAACCGATATACGGCTCCTGAGGATGTTGATGCGAAACAAGTGACAAAGAGGTTAGATTCGGGGGAAGGGGAATGGACGACGTGGAATTGGAAATCGGAAGGTGATTTTATGGTGAATGGTGCATTTTTTGTTGATTCAGGTAGTGAGAGTGAAGGGAATTTTCAGAAGGCTTATAGTGTTGATCCTAAAACTGTTGATCGAATTTCTGTTCTTACTATGACTGCTGGTGTTCTTGGTGTTGCTAGGTACGAGTTTGTTTTTACTTGTCACTCCTTTCTTAGTTTCCTCTACCAATAGATATTAGTATATTCGTTTTGCCAAAATATTGGGCCAGATTAAGATTTTACGTCTGCATTTTTTAATATGTTTGGTTCACTTTGCTTTTTTTTTGTGACCCCTATTTAAAATTGCATCAAAATTTTATTTTTTAAATGTGAATAAATGTGATGTATCTCGGATACCTTTGCTTACTTTTGTCGTTTATGCATGGGTTGGATAAAAAGTAAAGTACTTTTTTCTCCGCGAAGACTTGCTTTTTCTAATATAAAATACTAAAAATAATTTTAAAGTTTTCGATGTTGGTTAAAATAATTTATGTGGTGAATGAACAGGGACAACAATCTAGGAATGTGGACAAGAGCACCAAACGGTGGTGGAGATTATAGTATATCATATTCCGGAGAACAAGAGTACACTGATGACATGTCCCAAAGTACGATGATGTTGACCCATTCCTTTACTTTGACTCTTGTACTATCTCTTTTTGTTGCACTCTTGTGTCTGTTCTCTCATGCACTTATCCTATCATAACAATAGATTTTTAACAGTAAAAGAAGAATTAATCATCTTCTTTTTAATTGGTGTTAGATGTTTAGTGACTCTTGTTGGAATTGAAATGAAGAGATTGCTCTCTTAAATCAGGGCAATGTTTAAGGCTTTTTCCTTTTCCTCACATTTGTTAAATTCATTTTAACTATTAACAAAATATTATGATTATGATGTTTGACCCCATTAAAAATATAGTGATGCCCTCACATTAAATTGTGCCACTAATGATATAGTCTCTACATATGTTTTTTTTTGCACAGTGAAAATTATATTATTTGCAAGCAAAATTTGAAGTATTTAAAAAAACAGTGAATTAAAATATAATGATTTGCTAATTTGTCGGGAATTAAAGTCTAAGATTTCGTTTTTTTTTTTCCTTTTCATTTTAGTGTTTATTAAGTTATGTGCCTATGTATATAATCATATATAAATAATTAATAGGTAAAGTAAATTTAAATTATTTTTATATATAATATAAGTTATTTTTAATTTATACAAATAAAAAAAAATTATAAGTTGTTTTCAATAATTTTTTCTCTTAAAAAAAAGTCTCACAAAATTAATTATGTTATATGACAAATTCAAACAAGTCAATTAACAAAAAAAAAATTAAATAAAACAAATTGATTAATTTAAGTCTTTTTTATTTATTAGAGTGATATATTTGATAGTGTTAATTTTTTTACAACATGTTTAAAATATAAAAAACACTTAAAAATAATTATAATTTTTAAATATCAAGACGTCTTCATATTTTTAATATAATGATATATTTATTTTTTATATATCAATGAAAAAACATCATCATTTTACCGCTTATCTTAATAAATATATATATTCTTATAAATATTTATACAATAATTAATTTTGACCCCACTTATTAAAATTTACGGATTTGTCATTGTAGTGTTTCTAAGAGTAATGAGACAGTAGGCACGGATGATGATGTATCATCTCATCAAAGTTTGAACAGAAAGTTTTGATTCGACTTAGATTCGACGACGCAGATAACCCATCAGTACTTAAGAGAGATCCTATATTTTTCGCGTATTTACCATAATCTAGGAGGTAAATAACACAAGTTTGAAAATTGACTTAGCAATGCTTCGAGACTAGCTTAAGGCGCAGATTTTGCCTATTCATCACAACCTAGGGGATGAATAAAACAGAGCTTGATAATACATTGCCGCATGGAGACTAACACAACGAATTATACTGCAGATTTCATATGTTTACTACAACCTAGAGAGTAAACAATACGAGGATGAACTTGTGCGTTTATCATGATCTAGAGGATAAATGACACATGGATATGCTTATGTATTCATCACAACCTAGAGGATGAATAGTATAACCATGATAATTCGCACATCTATCACAACCTAGAGGATAAATAGTTGAAAAGTTTGTATGTTTATCGCAACCCAGAGGATAAATGACACGAAGGTAGACTTATGTATTCATTAAGACCTAGAGAATGAATAAAATAAACCCGATAGTCTGCACATCTACCACAACCTAGAGGATAAATGACTGAATAGTTTGTGTGTTTATCGTAACCTAGAGGATAAATGACACGAAGGTAGTCTTACGTATTTATCACGACCTAGAGGATAAATAACGTAATCCTGAAAGTTAGCATACCTACCACAATCTAGAGGATAGATACTTGAAGAATGTTTTGGTAATCGAATCTTAGACAACTAAACCAAAGATAAGATTAGAGTTTACGGATTGTGTCTATTCTCAACCAAGATACTCGTTTGTTTTGTGGACCAGATAATCCGATGATAGGCCCTAAGAAAGTTCATATTTTAACCAAAATGGATTTGAAAAATACCATGTATAATGCCCTAAGATGATATGGAACCCCAAAATGTATATGCTCTGAGTATTTTGTATATGCCCCGAATGTTTGTATATGCATCAAATGTTTGTTGTAAATGATTTAATATCCTCCCCTCTTTAAACCATGGGTTTTGTGTCACCGACTCCCCCAACGTTGTATGTTGCGTTGTCGTGGTGTCTTTGGGTTGGTTTGAACAAGATGAACGACGCTAGTAAGATTTTTATATTTGTATCGCGAGCGTAGGCGTAGGCATGGTTGTAGTCGTGAATGTGGTTATAGTCGCAGGCGTGGACGTAGTTGTGGATTTTCTTTCGATGTTTTTTATAACCAAAATTATTTTTTATGTTTTATCGAATGCTTTTGTTTCTTTTGTCAAATCCCCAAAATGATTTCAATGCAGTATTCACACGAAATAATCGTAGTATTTTGCAAACAAGTCCAAAAAAAAGAAAAACACAGTTTGAAAAGATTGAGAAAGTAATGTTTTATTTGATAAACATGTGTTTGAATAGGCTAGAGTACAAGATGAAATTCCTTTAAAGAGATAATTACATAAAGTTTAACAAAAACTTGAAAAATGGCAATGAACATGATAATTGCTACTGTTGTTTATCCAATATACTTTTGATGGTTCTAATCTCCTTTGCTTCTAAGTCAAATGATTTGAATTAATCCCTCTCCTTCATGGTCGTAGTCGTGGTTCTTAGATCGCAATCTATTTGTTATTTATTTTGAATAAGATCCCTAACTTTTGCCTGAACCGCTCTTTCGGGTTTTCAATCCAACAGGATAAATTTTTTTTATTTATGTTTGTAATTTTTGCCTAGATCGTCCTTTAGGATTTTCAATCCACCGAGATACTCCTTTTTGCCTAAATTTCCCGTTTAGGGTTCGAACTTAGAAAGCTTTTTATACGTAGTATTTTTTTACTATGTCGGAGTTTGTCGGATGTGGCAGTTCTTCCCCATCCATTATCGTGAGGATAAGACCATCACTTGAGAATGTTGTTTTTACCATATAAGGACCTTCGTAGTTAGGCGTCCATTTACCACGTGAATCAAGGCAAGGTAGTAGAATCTTCTTGAGAACCAAATCTCCTTCTTTTTATACTCGAGGACAAACCTTTTTGTCAAATGCCCTCTTTATCTACTTTTGGTACAACTAACTGTGGCACAATGTTGTCAAGCGTTTCTCTTAAATGAGGTTAAGTAGATCAAGTTTCGTCTGAACCCACTCCGCTTCTTCAAGTTTGGTTTCCATTAGAACTCGTAGCGATGGAATCTCTACTTCAACAGGGAGTACTGCCTTCATACCATATACTAGAGAGAAGGGAGTTGCACATGTTGATGTATGTACGGAAGTACGATAGCCATATAGAGAAAAGGGGAGCATTTCGTGCCAATATTTGTATGTCTTCACCATTTTCTGAATGATTTTCTTGACGTTCTTATTGGCAGCTTCAACGACTCCGTTCATCTTGGGTCTATATGGTGAGGAATTATGGTGCTCAATTTTGAAGCCATCGCATAACTCCATCATTTTATTGTTCAAATTGTACCCGTTGTCTGTAATGATCTTGCTAGGAACCCCATATCTGCATATAAGATTCTTCTTGATGAACCGAGTAACCACTTATCTTGTCATATTTGCGTATGACGTAACTTCCACCCACTTGGTGAAGTAATCAATGGCAACTACTATGAACCGATGTCTGTTGGAAGCTTTCAGTTCGATCGTTCCTATCATATCAATTCTCCATTGTAATACGGTGGGAGAACTGACTTGGTTTAGCGTTTATCGCAAATGTTGCGGATAACTAGAGTCGCCACTGACTTTTCTTTTATCCAATAAGGAAAGGGTGAAAAGAACAGGAAAAACCTTTGAGAATTTTCTGAGTTCGGGGGGTAGGTTATGAAAAGGGAAGGTGTTAACACCCTTTTCATCTGTAATTATCTACGAGCTCTTAATCGCTAGCTCACTTTGTTTGAAAATGCTATTTTGTGTAAGTGTATTTGAAAATATTTTGAAAAATGCCTAATGTGATCGGTGGATCTGGAACTGACTGTTTAACGCTGGTTCGCGAAATGTCACGGAAGCAAGAGTCGCCACCGTCTTTTATTTTCTCCAAATGGAAAGGACAAAAGCACAGAAAAATTCCTTATAGAGATTGCTCTCGGTTCGGGAGGTAGATTTATAGAAAGGAAAGGTGTTAGCACCCTTTCTATCCATGGTTATCCACGGGCTCTTAGATACTTGCTCATTGTGTTTTCAAAAATGGTTTGTTTGCTTTTCAATGTGGGCTTTAAAAAGTTTCTTTGAAAATTCCAGTTCGACTCTTGTATCGGTCCTCAAGAGTGTTTGAACAATTTGCTTTCGAAAGCTTTTTGAAAAGGTGTCGGTGTGAAAAGTATTTTTGAATTTGTTTTGAAATTAGAGCAAGTATCTAGAGTCGTCTACCTACCCTAAGGAATTCGTCTGTGTAAATGTCCTTAAAGTAGTGCCATCCCACCATTGAGAGGTAGGTAGCACCACCGTTGGAGGTGTTCGGGTCAATTCGAGGTTCGGGACATGATGATCACCAGAGCAATGGGAAGACACCTTAGAAGCTACCCTCATGCCATGTTCATGGACATGAGGACTTACTAAAACGTCCTCTACTCGACGATCACCTTTCGAAGGGCAAGGCAACAGTGAGGCGTACCCTAGGGGTGGTGTGTGATTTGTGTGTCGCTTTCAAATATTTTGTCTTGTTCATGTCATGGGTGATCTACGCTTTTGTTTTTATTTTAACATTCATTCTTGCATGCAGTTATTAACAGTTAAAAAGTTGCGAGAAATATAAAGTTTATAAACTATTACAAAGGCGCGGGTCCACATCGCCAAAATTAAAATCCAGGACCCGATTTGACGGAAAGTAAATAAAGAAATAAAATAAAGTGCGAGAAATTAAGTTTACAAGGCTTTGAGAGAGTTACATAAATATTTAAAAGAAGGAAATAAATAAAAATGCGCGAATAGGAATTAAAATTGGAAACGAGGGCGTTGGACCCTTTTTAATGAAATTAAATTAAATGATTAAACTAATGAAATTAAAGAGAAAAAAGAAATTATTTTTTTTTTTTTGAGTTTTTGG